ACATTTGCAGCCATGTTCCTATTTACTGTGACAGTCAGGCTGCCTTACACATAACCAAGAATCCTGTTTTCCATAAACGCATCAAACACATAAAAATTGATTGTCACTATATGTGTGAATGCTTGAATTTTGGCCTAATTTTCTTGCATCTTGTTCCCAGTTCTGCACAGCTAGCTGACATCAGGACTAAAGCATTGCCTAGCCAGCCTCACTATGGAATTCTTTGCAAGCTTAGTATGTTCTCACCCTCTGGCTGGGGGGGGGGGGGAGGGGAGGGGGTGTTAACATATTACAGATAAGGCCCAACAACAGAAGCTGAAGCTGAACGGCCCCACTAACACAGCCCCATTACTACATTAGTCCACCAAGCCCAATACTTTTGTATCTCTATTTTTCAGTTGTATTTATATCAATACACGTGTGTAATTGTATATAGACTAAGTAGTAGAATAATAATACACAAGTCAGTTGATTGTTCTAGAGACTGACCGACCTTCTCTATTTTCTCTCTCTATTTTAGAAACCTTAGGGTTTTCTTCAGTTTCTTTCGTTCATCAATGAAATCTGGTGATGTAAATATGTACTTACATTTTTTCTCAAATAAAATTGTAATTACAAATAATTTTTATAAATTTAACTTTTTTTCATCGTATTCATTTTATGTCCTTTTTAATTGTTGAAAGAACTTCATTTGATAACGTTAGTTATGCATTAGCCTTTTAATTAACAAAAAATAATAAACTTCATTATTTTCTTGTATGATGGCATAATGAAAGAAATAATTATATTTTCAAAATGCACATTCCAAAATACGCATTGTCTCGTCAGATTCTTTAGCTTTCTTTAAATAAATTTGTTTAGAGTAAAATTCTTGACATGGTGTATCGAAAAATAGTTTTTTCTAACATCATTATTGAAGGTGACTCTTTACTGATCATTAACATGCTAAAAGGCAACATTAAATCACCATGGCATATGTCGGAAATTATTTTGAAGATTCAAGAACTTGCTAGGATGGCTAACTGTACATTCCAACATTGTTTTAGAGAAGCCAATCAAGTAGCTAATGCATTAGCCAGGTGGAGCATAGAAAATTTGGACAAAATTTTCCACTCCAGTATTGATCTACCACAAAGAGCTAGGGGATTGTACATGCTTGATATGATCCAAATGTCCTCCTTCAGACATAAGCACAAAAACCTCAATTTTTTGTGATACTCTATGCTTGAAAGTTAAAGTTTGTTGTAGTTAGCAGGGTTGCAACTTATAACTCTTTTTGATGTAAGGTAATTTTAAAGTATAAGGAATCTGTTTTAGAGCCCTTTAGGCTTAATTTATAGTCTCATGAAGATAAACAAGTCACCAGGACCTTAGAAAGTATGAGAGCATCCCTAGCCAGCTTGTGTACTGGTTGGTTGGCCTCTCTGAAATTGTGCTCTACTATTTGAACCTTCACCTGGTGCATCAATGAAATGCAATCATAAACAATACTATTTAGTAGTGTGCAACCATGTTGTAGACATGAAATGACCTCTGTGGAGTTAGTCTCCACATCAATATTGGTAAAACCTTGATCCTTTGCACGGCAAATGGCAGGGATCTCGGAACTTTGTATTATCCTCCACATTTTGTAACCGCCGTTTTAGCAACTGATATTGAACCCAGTTCCTATGTAGTTAAAAATATTAGAAAAGAGGTATGCACTACACTTGCCTCCTCTGGAAACAAGAACGTCCTTCGTGACTATTTAATGCCTTATAATAGCCAAGTAGAAATGCCCGTTGGGGCCTCTGTGACAATGTAGCTTCTTAATTATCAGTATAATATAGATCCATGCTTATCAAAAATAAATTCAGTATTTACTAGCCTTTGAGAAAAAATAGCACTTGAGTGAATAGAAATAGGCACTAATAAAACTATCATTGACATAGTTTTAACTTACAAGGCAGCAAAGGGGGGAAATTGGTTGTGGTGGGGGGGGGGGGGGGGTGGAGAGAATTAAGCTACTTTGTCAAAGATCAAATTGCGTCAAAGAATTAGCAACATATACAAGTTTAAATTAAAATTGTAGTGGAAAAAAGAAATCCATCAATGAAAAGATTATAAATATTTAAGTATTATTGTTAGAATAATATTTGAAGTTGAAGTTGACAAAAAATTAAATTATTGGGGAAAAGTTTGAAAGAAACTGGTGTTTAGATAGTTGGGGTTTGTTGATAGAAAAAAGAAAACTTATGATAGTTGTAGATATGTGAGTCGAAACTGAAAATTGGGTTCCACCTAGCTAGCACGCTTTCGAGGGCAAATATATATATGTATATATATATATCCCTGGATTATTCATTGAGCAAATTTATCCTTAGTTAAACGAGTGACCTATTCGTATCTCTTACCGTTATACATTTGGCTTGAATTTGCCTTTTTACTACTGTAACGGAAATCACTTAGCCGATTAATGTTTGTCCTGTTTTTTAAATAAAAAGCCATGTGGATTAAACAGGTGGCCAAAGGAAGGCAGAAAGATATCTTTGTAAACCGCATATATACAAGTGAAATGAAAAGGCGGGGAAGGCGTTATAAATTGACTAAACTACCCTTTCATATTCAGAGGAGTAGTATTACATACTTGAAATTCTTATATAAAGACAAGGGTCCAATTGCCATTTCCACAAAGAGCACGCTGCTCGTTTCACAAGAAAAGTTTATTTATTACACTTCACTATATCTTCTTCAGAGTTCAGTCTCTCAATCTCTCTATAGTCTTGGACTGCAGATTCTTTTCTCAAGATCAGCATAAAAGGTACTCCATTTCTTCTTGATTATGTTTAACATGCATGGTTTCAGGATGATGATCTTATTTATTTTTTCTTCAAAATCATAGAATGTAGAAAATTCTGTACTTAAATAAATTTGTGTTTTTTTTTAACACCATATATATTTTAATACCACAACTTGCATTATATTCTTCTAGTTCCATAGAAATAGTGTATATATACTTTTATCATCTTAGTGTATACTAGTACTTGAAATTGCAGCTTATTTACTCACTAGTTGCATGGTGTTAATGCATTATCAAGGTGTGGTGATTTTATATTAACAATGAAAGATTCTTTTTTTTTTGGGGTGGGGGGGGGTGGGGGTAGGGGGGGACATTGTACAGCGGCTAGCAACATCATTGTTTTTTCTGTTAATGCGTTATTAACAGTTTAACATTGACCTGTTTAATTTAGGGAGGGGCGGATTAATTTAGGGGGGCGAATAGGGTTCACCCGAACCCCCTTCGCTGAAAAATTACACTGTATATATAAGGCAAAATCTATTTTTTACCTCTATATGTTTTGAATTCCTTGACCAAAAGCATAGCTTAGTGTTAAGGGGGTTCAATTCCCGCTAGCTACAAAAAATTTTAACTTTTCTTTTTTGAACCCCTTAGCAGAAATCCTGTTTGCGTGATTGATCACGCCCAACTATGCCTTATAAAAAGGACAATGCGGTCGTTGCAAATATAATCCGGTTTACAAGTCCGGAGTCGAATCCCACAGAGAACTAAGGTTTAGCTACAGCTGTTCACTATCACCTAGAAGACAAGCTTGAACAATTCCTAACTTATAGATATTAAGATTCTTCTGTTTAACTAATTAACTAACAAATTAAAATAGTAAATTAACAACTAACGATACTGAGGGTTAGAGAAAAGATTAAGGAGGTCTAGAGTTATGATTTCCCCAATTGTCAGAATCCTTCCCGCTATGTCTTCTATAATTTCGCCTAAGTATTCTCTACCGATCATGAGCACTCTTATTACCGTAAATCTCTCCCGAGTAATTACGATAATTTACTAGACGCACTCTCCCGAGCTACGCTAGCTGGCTTTTAATACAGCTCACTTCAGATCGCACCCAAGGCTTCGTTATCCCTAATCCCACCTTTAAACCCTCGGTTATTGATCCCTCATATACTCTGGGAGTGGTGTTGTTTAACAATTACCTAAATATGCACTCTCTCCCGAGTTATGCATATTAAATAGGCACAGCTAATTGAGAGCTCTTCAACCAACCACAATATAAACGTAGTTGAACAAATAGAGAAAAGTTATGGCTCAATTATATAAAAACATAACAAGAATTTATCCTACAAAAGGTTCTATCAAAACTCTAGATAACAAATTAGCTATTCATAATAGTATGTAAAACTACAATACTAAAAGTCATAACCAACAATGAAAAATAGGAAGAGGAAGGAAAAAACTCGTAGAAGAATTCTCCGCCTTGCTCCCAATGTATTCTTGCCTCCAAGGGTGTTGTCTAACCCTAAAGTAGTGTCTCTTGCCTCCTTAGGTCTAATTTGTGTCCAAAATATGTCCTCTTCTTGTTCTTGGCCGGCCTCCTTTGTTTAATATAGGGTTTAGGACTTAAAATCCCATGTTTTGCACTTTAGTCCCTGAAATTTTCGCTTCCTGCCGCGGTTTTGCCGCGGTCGCGGTGGAACCGCGGCCAAACATGCCCTCTGATTCTTCAGTTGTCCGCGACCATCTTCTATCGCGGTTCTGCCGCGATCGCGGCAAAACCGCGGTTTTTCACCCTGTTTCGTTTGGAATTGGAAAAAACGTAAAACATGAAAGTTGTAACCCTTTGAGTTAGCTTTCCAACCATATATTGTGGAGCCCAAATGGAGTTCTGAGCAAAAAGTTATGTCTATTTTACTAGACAGTGCGCAATATGCCTCCTCAAGTCTTCGTTCGTACTTAATTATCAAATTTGACCCCCGAACACGATCCTAGCTTAATTCCTTGAGCTTTTACTCAGACTTCAAAGCTTCAAATCACTTAAATTCATTCCATAACATCTATATAGCTCGGAATCACACCTACAAGGCATAAAACACACAATTAGTGCAAAACACTAGCGATTAAAGCGCAAACTCAATTAAAGTGCAGTAAATTCGAGTGTAATAAGCGACTAAAATATGCAATTATAGCCTATCATATTCCACAAGATAAGATGGGTGGAAGTGCAATATTAAGTGATTGTTGGGAATTTGCTTCAAATGAAGCTCGGACACTAGTTCTGGTTGGATGTACGGGAGATGGTAAGAGTTCAACAGGGAATAGTATACTTGGACGAAAGGCATTTAGGTCGATGCCTCAATCTGCTGGTGTTACATCTACTTGTGAGATCCAACGAACCCAATTGCCAAATGGACAAATACTAGATGTAATTGATACCCCTGGTATGCAAAAGCAAATTATTCTCCTTTAACGACAATGTGGATCGGATTTTGTTAGCATATTTACATGTCGATCTGCAGCATGCATCTTGTATAATCAATAACAACTCATGGAGAAAGCTTTATGTACATGGTTTGTTTATCTGATATTTCTTAACCCCATGTACATAGTTTGTTTATTAAAGATGTCTGTGCAACATTTAATAACACGTAGAGTCAATTTCTGTAACTTTGTGCTTTAAAACAATTCGTATTCATCCCAAACTTCACAATGTATTAACATATAGGGCAGGACTTTATACTGTACAGTAGTTGAGTCCAATATTTGGTTATAAAAGTCTTTGAAGCTTCTAAAATTCTTGCTCAATGGCGTAATCAGGAATTCATATAACGAGATCCAAAAAACACCACATCACACCTAGGATCTGAAATTGCGACCTAAAGCAATTTTTGAACCACATTTGTCATTAAACTAGAATCTTTTCTTATGCATGCCAATTTTTGCTTCACCCTTGTTTTTGGTAGCTCATATTGATTTTTAGAGATACCGCTACACTGTTATAGCCTACTGATCATCTAGTCTAGAAAGAATATGTTAGGATACGGTAAAGTTCCAAAGAGAGAGGAAATTCACTTGCTTAGAATGAATTTTTGCCTCGCTAGCTGCATATCTTATGATACATTCTTCAGGTAATCACAAGAGTTACTGATAGCCAATAAAATTGTGGAAATATTGCAGGACTGTTTGATTTTTCTGCTGATCCTGGTATTGTTGGAAATGAAATTGTTAAATGTGTCGATTTGGCCAAGGATGGCATCCATGCTGTTCTACTGGTACTGTCAGTACGAAGTCGCTTTTCAAGGGAAGAACAAGCAGCTGTCCAGAGTTTTCTGGAGTTTTTTGGTTACAAAATTAGTGATTACATGATTGTGGTCTTCACTGGTGGAGATGATCTGGAATATAGTGATGTGACTTTGGATGATTACTTAGGTGCCGACTGCCCCGACCCTTTGAAAGTAAGATTGCATGTTGAGATCTGATTAATGTCTTTGCTTTTTAGCATTCCTCTGTTCAATATAGGTTTCTTTATTGGTTTTCAAAGGTTAAATTAGTTGTTTTTTTTCTCTTTTGCATGTTCATTAGTATGAAGATTGTTCCAAATAAATTTATTTGTATTGTCATTACAGGAAATTCTCTCTATGTGTCAAAATAGGCTACTGCTTTTTGACAATCGGACTAAGGACCCAATTAAGAAAGCCGAGCAAGTGAAGGATCTTCTTTTCCAAGTGAATTTGGTTGTGAACAATAACGGTGGAAAACCGTATACAAACTCCTTGTTCAAGGAATTGAAGGTTTGACCGTAATTACATGTTACTAATTGTTGGATTCTGTTTAACGTTAATTCATTTTTACTTGTCAAGTAGCGTTAGAACCTTTGTCGTCATCTCTTCTCATGCATTTACAGGAAGGAGCCATGAATTATCATAATCAGAAGGCAAAGGTTGATTCCTCAGCAGCATATTCTGAGCAAGAGATAAAAGAATTGAAGGACGAAATGCAGAGGTCCTATGAGGAGCAAATTAGGCGAATATCTGAAGCGGTAACTTGTGATATTTCTTACTAATGCACTTTGCTTACATTCATAGATAAGATTCAATGTATATATCCTAGTTTATCGATACGTACATTATGTTCTAAAGTATAGTATATAGACCTACCTAATCATATAGGTATGTGGTGTCTTTGGGCAGTTTATGGACACAATAACAAAAAACTCGTCTCTCTTTAAACTCATTTTTTTCTGACTGTCCATGTCATTTCATTTATGAACCAACGTTTATGTAATTGACAGGTAGAAACTAAGCTCAAGAAGACCATGGAAAGGCTAGAAAAGCAATTGGAGGAGGAGCATGCTGCTAGGATTGCGGCTGAACAGAATGCAAAAGAAGCTCGAATCGCAAACTGAGAGATCTCCTTGAGAGCTCGCGAAGGGAGACTAAGGAGCTCCGAAAACGGATGCCACCGCCAGCCCCAGCCCCAGGCTGTAATATTTTGTAAGTTAAGATATGGGGAATTAATTAATGTGCATGTTTTGGAAGTAATTCAGCTTAACTTGTTTTGAGGCCAGTTATATGTATGCATGGTTGGATGTGTGTGTTTTTTGAAGTAGCTTCAACTTGAATTATTTGAGGATGATAGCTCGTCGTTTTTGGATATTGCATTTTCGTCTGTTTTGTGAATTGTGCCTACGGCTTCTTGGATTATTTATTAGTGCCTTGGCTTTTTAAATACTATTCCCTACTTTTTATTTTTATGTATTTTAGTTCGACTGACATTGTCTTTAAGAAAATACATGGATTTTTTAAGACAAAATTACATAATAATGCACTCCATAAGTTGATTATACATTATTTTAGCCCACTTACAAGTTTGCAAATGTGTATCAATAAGCTTAGATCTGAATTTTTTTAGCCCACTTAGAGATGCCTTCCGATAAAACTTTTCAGAACTCCAAAGCATCATGCGCGATACAATCTGGATGTGTGGGGAGGAAAATGGTGGATTCAACAAACCCTTATGAACATCCTGATAGCTTTCTCACCTTACCTTCACCTATTGAAATCTCCATTCTTAGCTAAGATATAAAGGTCATTGCCTCATCCTTAATATGTCTTTTCTTTCTCCAAGGCAAAAAAAAAAAAAAAAAAATTAACACTGTCTTCCTTCACTGCTAGAAATACGATCCAAACTTAAAAGGGATACCCTGTCCAAATAAGGTCGTCCAACTTATACTAAGATCTGCATTAATCCAATAGCATTGCATTAAAGTCTAGATGCTCATCCATATGGAAGCAATATGCTCATTCAGTGTCAAAGCCACTCCTGAATAGAATAGCAATAATTATTGCAGAGAGCGGTTTCTCGCATCAGATTTTAACCTATAAGATAAAAGGACATTACACATTATGGTCAGAAGTCAGAAAACAGCTCAAACAACAAAAATGAATCAAGACAACTACATCAAATACAATTGAGAAAATCCACAGTACTGATCTGCATTCTGCACAACTACATCAAGTATACTTTGCAAAGAGAAACAGATTCACTTGTACAAGGCTGGTACATTATTTACAGGATTCAAATATCAAAAATTGCAAGTGAAAATCGTACAAAAAATTCGTCAGATATGCTTATACACTTTTATACAAAGAGGTATATTATATATATAGTTGTATAAAAGTGTATAAAAATGAAGAGGAGGAGGAGGAGGAATAAGAAATGTATCCGCCTTGTATAAAATAATGTATAAGAGATGTTTATACACTATTATATGTTACTTATACAATATTATACACTATTATACAAATGAATCATATTAATGGAGCTTCACTGGTTCTTCTTCTTCTTTGGGCATCTTCTGAAATTCAACTCAAATCTACCTCAAATCTGCTCCAAATCACTTCAAATTTGAGTTTTGAACTCCCCTTGACGATCCCAATCAATTGGGCCAACACCCAATCCAAACAACTAACAAAATCGAAAAATCCAATTTTGAAATTGAAGCTTCGAATGACCTTTAATGGTGACTCCAAAATAGTAATTCTCTTAAGTGGTATTTTTTCTTCTCATCTTAATAATGATTATCAACTTTGAATATAGAAGGAGAATTGAAGAATATATATAATGGTAGAGAAACTTTGGGGTGCAAAATCGTGAAAGAGGAAGAAGAAGAAGAACGAAGAAAAGAAAAAAATAGGGTGGGCTAACTGGTAAAAAAAAATTCAGATTATATACAACCTGGGCTATATCAGGTAAGGGCTTCAAATGTGGGCCATTTTTTGATGGACTGTTGGGCCAAGTGACAAGGAGCGTAATTTTTCCGAGCCTTAAATTAAACTTATGTGTAATGTACAAAATGGGCTGTAGAATTTTGTGATTTTAAACGTATCATGTGGGATGTTGGAATTAAAGAACTATTAAATATAAAAAAAATAGCATTTTACTCTTGATTCTTGTCTGAACTTTCAACTTAAACACCAAAATATTTTTCTGGATGATAACTTGTAGCATTACAAACAAAATCTGCGTTATTAAAATCTATGTAATGTAATCTAGGTCCTTTTCATCTCAACTCGACCGAGTTTATACAATTAATGGTCAAATTTAAAGGTCAATCACAATTAAAGGTCCAATTTATTGAACTCTTGCATTTCGTATTAAGATTGAAGTACTTCCATACTCGTAATTGTGAAAGACTAACACAATAAGATGACATGAGTGTTTATTTTATTGCATAACTATGCAAGGTACATTTTTCTTCTAATTATTTTCTCCCGATTATAAATATATAAGCATAAGATCAATCTATATTATTTCTTGTCTAACATCTCCTTCCTAACATACATTGCAATTTGCTACTTTTATAGATCGGTGTATAGCGTTATGATGCAATAGAAGTTTAATCCGCAATAAAATCTCGTCTTAAATCACATAAACTCAATTCAAGCTATAACAATATAGTATGTACCTCCATCATTAATAATCACCTTATACAATTATTATATTGCTAAGTTAAAACTCTATAGTAAAACGACTGAAATCCATTGATGAATTTCATTGAATAAAAAGTAGAGAACATCAAAGGAAGAACAATTGGGGAAAGAACAGAGATCGAGAGAGAGAGAGCGCAGGAGAGAGAGAATGGATAGGAAATAACTGATTTCTTATTCAATTCATAATATAAAGGGATACTCATTTAAAACTAATTTGTATATAATTAATTAATTGTATATGGACATGTAATTAAGTTAAAACATGATTACGGAGGGTAATAAAGTTTCATATGTAGTATAAGTTCGTAAAAATTACATTTTTATATCTATAGTGTAGCTAATTGTCTAGCCCATAAGCACATGTTTTCAAGGTAATCATTTTCATTGTTATAGTTGAGATTCGAATAAGGATCTCACACCTCATTCAATATTCACCATTTAAATCTTTCCATTAAACCCCATTATCAAATCAAAATGCCCTTTATTTAATTTTATAATTGTTATAAAATATCTCGTTGCTATGAGAAATATTTCATTTATTTATTTATTTTTTACATTTTGTATTTAATTTTTTTGGGAAAAAGTTGAGGCATTGAAGGTCAAGAATTTCAAGTGCATAATACAAATCTTCGATCTATATGAGGGGCAGTGACATTTGCAACGACGAACTCAATCCATAATACTGATTGAATGGACTAGTTTTTTGTGACATCATTTCCATATTTTGCTAGTCTTCCTTAATTTTTGTTATTTTTTTTATTTTTTATTTTCAGCCAGAAGAAAATAAGCAAGAAAGTTTGAAGTTAAAGTTCCATCTCATGTGTAGCATTTTCTATCTTTGATTATTTTGTTCTTTGTTTCTCTTTTTTTTTTCCCCTTGTAAATCTAGATTTGAAACTCTGCATACTCTTTTTTATTTTTTCATCTTTTTAAAATATAAAACGTTTTCACATTTTTGAAACAGACCTGAGTCGAGCGTCTATTGAAAACAGTCTCTCTACCCTTAGGTAAGGATAAGGTCCGCGTACAAACTACCCTCCCCAGACCCGACCTGGTGGCAACATACTAAGGTTTGTTTGTTTTTGTTTGTTTACTAAATCAAAAAAGTATCACACAAATAAAATAAAATAAAAAATGAGCATCATGCATAGCAATTTTTTTCCACATAAAAATATTTCAATAGATCATAACTTTCGTTCATATGTTTCACTCTTACAAAATATACATTGACTTATGAAAAAGGTTTATTCATATAATAACTCTAATAGATTAAATTCAGAATTAGTGTTTTGTATGGTAAAAAAAATCGAAAAATCGAAATACATGAACACCTCGATCTGCTTGACTCATTTTAGAAATGAAAACTTTAGTTACATTCTTTTTATATTTATTTATGGTAAAGCTCTCTTTGGCTATTAGAGACAAAAAATAAAGTACCAAAAAAGACGAGACAAAAAGAACAAAAACTTAACAGAAAAATGGTGAATATCCAGTTTTGTGCTTTCAAAATTTACCACAGAAACTCATAAACCAGTTTTCAACATCACAGAGAAAAAACAAAACAGAAGTAGAAACTCGAAAGTGACAGAGAGAGAGAGAATGAGTGAAGTACGTCGAACAAAAAAAAAAAAAAACGGACGGGGGGGGGGGGGGGGGTCGGCGAAGAAGACATTAGAATTNNGGGGGGGGGCCGAAGAAGCATTGAATTGCTTGTATATTTAGTTGAATTGAGTTGGTTTTGAGTTGTTTTTTCCAGATTTTCCTCCTCAATTAAATGAATTAAAAACTCCACCTCGCTTCCACTTCCATCTACTGCGGCTTCAATAAACGTCGTCGTTCAGGCATACCAAGAACCTGCAACTCCATTTACAGTGCCAATTTTGCAGTTTTTGTTCACTTTTTGAACAAAATAATTTCTGGATTCTGTCCATTTAATTGAATTTCAAACTTTTGTGCAAAATAATTTCTGGGTTTTGTGCATTTAGTCGAATTTTTTAGACAAAAATAGTTTCTGGGTCTTGTGCAAATAACTGAATTTCAGGCTGCTTTGCAGATTTCTGGTAATTAGGCAAAAAGAAATTCTGGGTATTGTGCAAGATTGAATTTTGAGAAATGGGTAATAGATTTATTTGCATGACGAAGAAGGATATAAAAGAAACAGGCAAACCTGGAATAGGGTCAAGGAGTAAGAGGAATGAGAGATCAAAGAGGAGGTCATTAATGGAAGAGGAGTTGCTTCATAGGCAAGCTTTATCAATGGCAATTCAGCAGCATCAGTTGTCTCAAAGATTTGATGGTGGGTCCATGTCTAGACGTATTGGATCCACAAGCTCTCGCCGCCGCAATGATTTGCCTGATCAGTTAGCTTCTAATTCAAAACAGGTATTCACTCACTAGTCTCTGCTTTATATGTCAGTCTTCTTAATTCACTTTCAAGACTTGCTTTTTTTGAAGTAGAATTTGTATAGTGGACTCAAGTAGTTTGAGATTGAGGTGTTGCTGTTGTTTGTATATAGTATACATTTTGATGTGGTTGGTCATGCTTTATACTAGAAGTTGGGATCTGTGGATAATGTGGGTCTGAGTGGAAAGTTTCTTCCTTTTTGTTTTATTTGTTTCTATAATGAATTGGTGGTGTAGAGCTGCAGAAAGTTGAAAAGTAGAATCTTTTTATATCTTGGTGGTGGATATGATAGCTTTCTTTAAGATTCGTGATATTGCTGAAGTGCTCTTGAAAAGGAAACTAGTCAAAAGGCACTTTTTGTTGCTAAAAGTGAAAAGCTTTTATCCTCTCACTTTTTCTCCCACATTAACTCACTCCATCACTGGACCAATTTAACATTGATTGTAAACTTAAATTTACATGGATGAAGTTCCTTTTTTTGTTTCATTTTTCTGTCTTTTTCCAAATTAATAGCTAGTCTGCACTCTTCTTTGTCCAGGTTAGATGTGAGGTCCCAAAATTCGAGCAATCTCCCTGAACTCTCTCTATCTTCTTAGTTTCATTGTTTTAGATAAGCAATTGTAGCAATAAGATATTTTTCTGCAGATTTCTGAGGTGGTTCTAGCAATTCACTTGACTAGTGGATGGAGCAACTTGCTTAAGATTATTGAATTGCGTAGAGAAATATATTTAGGTTCTTGTATAAGCGCACACACATTCACTTAGTGTGATCATTCTCAAGGTTTAGCTGTCTGGTTATGTGGTCCGTACTGGAGTTAGCTGTGGAAGCCATATCAGCAAGTATGTGTAGACTAAGTTGTTCAGACACGGGTGCGGATCTAAAGGTCGGATCTTTCGAAATGTAAATTCTAAGATTTGGGGATACGAATCCTAGTACGGATACGGGTGCGGGATTCGGCTAAAAGTAAAATAAAAAAATAAAAAAATCTCTAAATTATGAGAAATTTTGTGGAATACTTACGTATAGCTTGTAAAGTGTGGATTTCTTTTTTATTCGCAGGTTGTATATAAGTAAAGGATTTATTTCCTAGATAAGGTTGCTATTTTCTTCAAATTTACCGTAGTTTTGGTTCTGATTTTGGTAATCAAATTGTATCTCGTCTCGAATTTTTCTGTCCGTCATGGTCAAAGTATCCAAAATTGTTTGACCATATCCGGTACAGTGGGGCCTGTCTTCTGTCCGGTTCTTGGGTCCGGTCGAGCCTCTTTGAAATTACATCCCTGCCTCTCGTCTAACTCGAGTTGCCCCGCTCCTTTGGCAGTTAAAGTAGCTCGCTTCAAGAAGTAAGATTATATCCCTAGGGGTATGTTACGAGCAGAACGGATCCCATACCCACACCATACTAGTGTTATGTCGACACGGCGGCGGCATCTAACTGCCATGTCGGAGCAACTTAGTGGGCGTTTGGACATACGAATTGTAAAATTTCGAAAAAAGTGAAAAAATTTCAAGTGAAAATGATATTTGAAAATTAGAGTTGTGTTTGGACATGAATATAATTTTGGGTGGTTTTTGAATTTTTGCGAGTGATCTGAGTGAAATTTTTGAAAAACAACTTTTTGTAGTTTTTCAAATTTTCGAAAAATTCCAAAATTCATCTTCAAGGAAAATTGAAAATTTTATGGCCAAATACTGATTTCGGAAAAATGTGAATTTCTTTTGAAAAAAGTGAAAAAATTTCATGGCCAAACGGGCTCTTAGTGCGTAGATCTTATCTGTGGTTCATCTTGTAAAGTGTCTGGACCCAGATAGATCAGTGGTGACTCAATAGATATAGTTTATTCTCAATCCATAGGGTTGGACAAAGTTACCTTCAGAATTAGTGTGCAATGTACATTATCTGCAAAGTGCAGCATATCTAAGTTAGGCAACAGCAAACTAGGTGACCCATCACTTTCTCTAATTTTAATTGCTATTTTTGTTTTCAGGTTCAAGTATTCCTGCCTTGTATAAGGCTCTTAGCTTACTGTTAGGCGTTCTGCTTTCTCACTAGCTTTAACTTCTCCTGCTATAGATGTAGATGTAACACTGATAGGAAGTTATATGTTTAAATACGGATATGATTTAGCTAAAGCTAAACATCAGAGTGGTTGAAGAAGTTTAGATTCATCTAAGTGATTGGTTTATTGCACATAATCAGTGGGAATATTTTGAAAAACTTTAAGTAGAAAACATAAAACATGCCACTTAATGAAGATAAGGAGACACCGGAAATCCAACTACTATCAATATCTTTTTGGCAAACTCTAGACAATGTTCATGTGGTACTGCAATTACCTTACAAAATTTATGCTGTAAAGTTACCTGCAGAGATTTTGGAGAACACCAAAACAAAGAAATTTGTTTTGATACATGGAGAAGGATTTGGAGCTTGGTGTTGGTACAAAACTATTGCTCTATTGGAGGAAACAGGATTGGTCCCCACAGCCTTAGATCTAACTGGATCTGGCATTGATCTGACAGATACAAATAATGTTACAACTCTAGTCGACTACTCAAAACCATTAATTGATTATCTGGAGAACTTGCCGGAGGATGAAAAGGTAAGATAGATTTGGCAGAACTTTCTAGTCCTTTTTCTACTATGAATTTTGGCAAAGACGATTGCACATATATTCTGAAGATATTATGCGTATATTTCTTTAGGTAATTTTGGTCGGTCACAGTGCTGGAGGTGCTTGTGTTTCCTATGCTTTAGAGCATTTCCCCGATAAAATTGCAAAAGCTGTATTTCTTTGTGCCACAATGATATCTGATGGCCAGAGGCCTTTTGATGCATTTGCTGAAGAGGTACGCATGCCTTACTTTCTGGACATTGCATAACAATTACCGAGAATGGCTATCAACCATTCAGTCCAAAGCTCGATTGGCTAACCTGTTGAACTATTTATCTGCACGTTTTGAAATGCATAGTTCAAATGTACTTTGTGCAGCAGCAAAGTTGCTCCTGGTAGTTGAGGACAACAACACATACCATATCATGAACATGGTTTATTGTCATGCCTTCTGAAAGCACTGTTTTGGTTGTGATGTCGTCTTGTATGATATTCTTGTTTTGTTATATGGAGTGGTTGAAGTTATGAGATTTTCTAGAGAACAATATATGTGATCCAGAAAAGGGAGGTCAAAATACTGTATTTGAAACTTCTATAGTTCTTAAACATGATAAAATAGCACCAAGCTGCATAGCCAGTAACTGAATGCAAATTTTTGGTATGTGTGTTCAGCTAACAACTTAGATATAATGCATTCATAGTGTGTTTCTCTTCCTTATAACTTGCCTTGTATTTTTCGCTGAAAGATATTTCCTCTTTCCCTCAATGTTGTCCATGTTCTTATGAGCTTAACTTAATAAACCTTGTAATAATTAATAAATAGGAACTTTGCTAGTTTTTGAATATCTGACCCCAATTTGTATATATTACTAAACAAAAGCAGGAGGCTTGTACATAGAATAGAGCTCAAAAGGTAAGAAAAAAGAAAGTATAGTAAGAGGTGATGTCTGATATTGATCTCTATCTCACAGTTCAGTCCACATCCCAAATCGGTGTCCTACTGACTATCTAGTTAATATGCTTGCACATATATTTAAAATCCTATTGCATCATGATCTGTTGAAGATGGGAATGAGTATGACGACCTCACTGCAGACTGATGTAAGAATTTGTATGAGTTTTCAACAGACAAATCGAAGTTCAACCATGCCACAGTGTGCTTCATGCACGATTCATGATGTTTAAAGAAGCAGCAGATGTATATTGCAAAATTACTGGTGGATTAAGCGTCATTCATTATAACCTGTCGATTTTAACTCATAAAGGATTTGATTTGTCCTAAAAGTAAACCTGCTGCTGAGATTACTTCAACTGACAATAATTGTTTTCTATCTCCTTTCCACTTTGACGTGTCTATGGGTGATATGTTTGCAGCTTGGGTCCGCAGAGCTATTCACCCAGGAGTCTAAGTTCTTAACTTACGGGAATGGTAAAGACAAGCCTGCTACTGGCCTCATGTTCGAGAAGGAGCAAATGCATGGGCTATATTTCAATCAATCTCCTACAAAGGTACTTTCTTTATGCAAGTCGCAAGGATTCTTCCATTACCTATGCTAATCGCTTAAGTTAAATCTTCCATAGTGTATGGCAATGTGCTTTGTATGCATTATTCTATGCTGTTAGATCTTGAACTACTTTAGAAATGATTACAGAAAAATACAGAGGCATCAACATGCGGCTTCTCTCTCTCTCTGGGAGTGGGAGTGGCAGTATGATGAAAAACATCTCATGATGACGTAAATGTTTCTTGTGTCATATACATCACCTTAAGGAAACCGTTAACAGCAACCTTCAGAACGGAACATTCAATATCAATCTCAGTTCTTGTTGCTCTGACACATGAATTTGTTCATGTTTATTGAGCTAACAAGTTTCAGTAGAAAGTAATATGGGATTGTACTTGCTTTGAATCCCCAGAGAAACTCGGCAATTTTGCCCAGGATATGATTATTTACACCACAACTGAAAAGAAAATGAATGGTAAGACTTCCATGTACTCCAAATGGAGCTAATCATAGTGTACAGAAGATAGAAAGCATGAAAGATTTGTGCGGAGCTCGACCAACATTCTCCTTTTTGTACTAGAGTAGTGGAGGGAGACACTAATAGCACCTCAAAGAGCTCAAAGTAAAATACATAAAACTGAAAAGGGGCTCTTTTATAAATGTACTGGGAAGAATTTGTCACATTACATAGTTTGATCAGCAGCTCGTTGATGTAAATTATGATTCTGACATCTAACTAAAGCCCATTCAGGAAGTTAAATTATTGCCAAAGAGTGCTTGTGTGTATTTGATGTCTATATATTCGTTTTCAGATTATCTTATTGAAACTCAGAGAAAAATGTAAATTGATGGTTTCGCGAAAATACATCACTAACGCACTATATATTGATTGCAGGACGTTGCTTTGGCAATGGTTTCTATGAGACCTATTCCCCTTGGTCCAATGATGGACAAGCTAGCACTGACACCTGAAAAGTATGGAGCTAGTCGTAGATTTTATATCCAGACATTGGATGATCATGCTCTTTCACCGGATGTCCAAGAAAAGCTTGTGAGGGAAAACCCCCCTGAAGGAGTTTTCAAGATCAAAGGCAGTGACCATTCTCCATTCTTCTCGAAGCCACAGTCGCTGCATAAGATTTTGGTCGAAATTGCTCAGATTCCATAGTGTTAGTTTCCTTTAACAAGAAGCAGGGGGGAGTTTTCTTCATAGAGAAAATGACACTCCTAGTTTCTTATGGAGGCTGTAGAATCCATGAGGTGGTTGGTTGTACAGAAGAGAAGAATGACTCGGCTTGTTTTAAATCATGTTGAAATATTTGATAGTTTCTTTCACTTATAACAGGAAAGGCATTGGTTCGTAGTTGACATATTCTTCTTGTAGTTAAATCTGAGGTAGCAGGTAGATTTGAAATATTCCTCATGTACCTGTGGTAGCACTTTGTTCTATCTATTGTTGACTCCTAAAGAAACAATAGTGTTTACCGTGAAAATGGTAATAACAATTAAATTTGATTATGGGACTCTAAAAACACGTGATCTATTTTTATGCTAGTTGTTAAGCAGTTGGTGCTATGCGTGAGACTTAGAAACGAGATAAGAGTTAGGAATAAGGCGATAACCAAACCGATAGGTTAACACTCGGGGCCTCGAGCTTGTCGATTCGAGGGCCTCGAGGTCGATTCCGATGCTCGGCCGGGAGCTATCGAAGGCAATCGATGAGTGAATAACAGTTAGGATAAGATCAATGGAGGCTCTTTATGGCCAATGATAAGCAATAAATGATGAACAATGAATAGAACACAAAAAATATTAGGAATAAATGAGATAACGAGACCAAGAGAAAGTGTTAGAGAGCAGAGAGAATGATCTAGTATATTTAGTATGGAGTCCAGTGGTGTATAAATGACAGGGATCTCCTTTATATAGTAGGAGAAATCCCAACGTAGTACAAATGTATTAATTACAAAGATATGGAGATGGGACAGCTAGATACTGCCATGATGCAGGCTCAGACTAGCCTGACGGACTTTGTCGGCTCTAGCTGCACGCCTTATGAACTCCCCATCTCTACCATAGCTGGGGTCAACATTGTCCCAAGATCGAGCGTCGACGAACCTCGAGGGAGGAAATTCGACCGTAGCCTTGTAGCCTCGAGCCTTCGAGATGATCCTCTGAGATGCCTCGATGACGAGGAATTGGACCCTCCGATTTCACCGTATACAGATAGTCCCCGCGTTTCTTAGAGAGGAGCGACAAGAAACGATTTTGACATCCATTTCTTCGGACTTCCTGTGATGATGTCATACTGATGATATCATACCTGTGACGCAGGCCTTCGTGATAACTGGGGCATCCCATGGACTTGTCTTTGATTTATGCTATGTTTCTTTTATTTGCGTTTTTGGAGATTTCTAAATGCATGACTCTACCGGTTGATGCCAACATCGAGCCCGGGTGTGGGTATTTTTTCTAGCCTTTGATTGATTAACGCGGCTCCCCACAGAACCCTTTGCCGGTCTTTGGACCGGGTCCGGGTTGGACTGATAAACTCGGGTTGTCGGGACCCTGGCTTCGAGTTGAATGAGAGTAGGGCTTCGAACCCTCGGACCGAGACTTAGCCTCCAGACCCTGCGACAATCTTCGAGGGGGAATTCACTCGAAAACTCGAGAATAGAGATTGCCTTTAGGCTTTCGAGAGCAATTTCCGAGCGGGGGTTTTCTCAGACTCGGACCATCTGGAAACTTGTTTTGAACTTGATGTAGATAGCCTTAAAGGCGTTGTAGATAGATTCTGGATGAAGGTTTACCCGGATTTAGATGGTACCTCAGGCCCACACGAGTCTTGTAATGATATCGATGGCCCTTTGGAGAGGTCCTTGAGATCGGGTACCATCTCGGGACTGGCGATGATGCCAATGGCTTCTTGGAGCCTAACTTCTTTTCGATGGAGATCCTCGAGGTCGGGTACCACCTCGGGACTTGCAATGATGCCGGTTGACCACGCCTTTCGTTGTTGATGATGAGGAAGACGAAGGTCGGGAGCGGATGGGCCGATTCGTCCGAGTTCGGACTGTCGATATTATCCCTATGGAGTTTATGCCATTCCCTGAGGAGTGGAATTTTGCACGTAAGTGGTATACTCGTACCTTCGTAGTTTTGCTTATGGCAAAAGCAGGCTCTGTAGATATGCCTTCCTTTCTTTTTCTGCAGCAATTTTATGGACGTCGCGAGAGGTCCCCGACCTGACGGATTGGGCTCGAAAACTGGCGACTTGCTCGACTTATAATGAGTGTAAGTGGCAAATTTTGTCAAAGGACAGATGGGAGGCCAAACATCATGGTATGTGCCGCGCGATTTGTTCCCTTCCCCTTTTTCAGTTGGAAAAACACTTCCTCTTTCTGCGTGCTAACCCTGTTATTGTAGGCATCGGGGAGCCTTCTGAGGCGGGGTCGTGCCCCTTTGGAGAGGGAGAAGGGTTGCTAGCTTCTAGGCTAAAGAATGATAGTAATAAGCAAGAGATACCTTTGTAGGGCGACGGTGCTCAAAGCGAGGTGAACCTGGACCGGGGGCCTGGAGTGGGAGTATTGGCTGAGCCTGCTGCGCCCGTGATCTCTGGCATTGAGAATACGGTTTTTCCCCTGCTGCCGTCTTTTTTTCTCGTCGAAGGTACTTCGGGGAATGAAGGCTCTCTACCACCTGATTCTTTCTCCCATCAAAGGTGCTTCGATGGATGCTTGAAGCCCAGGACCGTATACACCGAGCGACCGTGTCTCAATCTGGGATCGGTTCTTCTGGGGCTGAGGGATCCAGACTAGTAGATGTGCACTCGACCTTCGAGGAAGCCCAGCGACTTCACTTTATGGTGAGTTTCGACATAGGCCCTTTGAATTTCGCGCCTTGCCTTTCTTATTGGATTTTCTTTTGCAGGCCTTCGACCGGATTAAGTCCGGGCTGCTTCATCGTGAAGCCCGGCTGCGGAAAGCACTGGATGAGGAGAGATCCCTTAGGCTCCTTTGCGATGAAAAGGAAGCCGAGCTGGAACACTTGCAGTATGAGGCGAGCCGGAGCTTGAATTACGAGAGCTTCTTGGAGAAGCAGTTAACTTTCCGCCCTGGGTGAGTATGCGCCCCGCCTCCTAGCTTCTAAGGCTAATACTTCGTTTATTTCAGTTGCAGAAAAGGACGGAGGCCCTGGAGCGTCTTCGGGATGAAGCCGGCCGATCCAATAGTGAACATGATGAGCTAAGAGCTCTGGCGGAGGTTCAGGCTTTAGAGGAGAGGTGTCGCGCCCCCTTTTTCCCTCCGCGGAGAGGAGTCCGGGTTTCGACATTCATGGAGGTGTAATGACTCATTTCCTTTTGGGAATTGGGTAGTCTGAAGAGTCGCCACCTAACGATTTTTAAGGTGCGTTAGGGCACCTATAGGGTTCAACTACAACTACATTTGATAACCAGAGATAGTGTAAGGGCTTGAAATTATCCCAAGGGGAAGGTGTTAGGCACCCCTCAGGATCCACTAGTGTGGTTCCCGGCTAGATTGTTTTTTGTGAATTTGTGCAATTAGCAAGTAAACAAATAAGGCTCAAATAATAGGGGATTTTAAATTTAAAACACAAGTGTTTGAAAAAACAATAAAAGCAAGGTTTTGAAAAGAGTTATAATCTAAGCATGCTTGTGAATGAAAAAGGGGTCCTAAGTTTGTTTGTAATATGGATCACATCAATGTAATACCCGGTAATCACTCCTCAAAAGAGGGGCTACACGTGGTATTAGCGCACCGGTCATCATATCCATATCTACCCTTCCCACCCCGTGAAGGTATTAAAGCGAGGATTGGTCTCGACCTGTATTGCATGTTGTTACCCGTCCCGTTTCTATCAGTCCCGGAGGAATTTAGGACTACTATTCTTATAAGAAAGAGGTTCTAAGCTGACTCTTAGGTTTTAAAGGTAAAATGATAAGGCGACATACAAAACAAGTAGAACTGCATTTAGAGGGGAAACATATAAACAACTAAAAGGCTCATGTATACCTCCGCAAATAATGCATATAAGCAGCATGACTTAAACACAGTTAAGGTCTGAATTTTAAATCCTAAAGCATGGTGTTTGAGTCAGAACCAGATTCATTATATAACTCAGAAAAGAAGTCCGAATCAGATCTGTCTGCTGGTTGTAGCAATTGATAATTAAACAGAGGCAGTTCCAATTTTATTTAAGTAATTACCTAAGGCTTGCCTAGGCGTGAACAGGATTCACTAGTTATTCAGGATCACTTGACAGTTGGAGACTATTGTTATTACCTAAACATGTTGTTCTAGGTGTTCAGCACATAGAAATTATGGCCAATTAGTTGTAAAGACTAAATGAAATTGTTTTATTCCTTTTCATGCATTCGTAATTAGCCTAAGTGTGCTTAAGCGAATATAAGTGAGATCCTAAAGACATGGTATCTAAATGGAAAGAGTGCAGAATGATGTATATATGCAGAATCCTAAACAGGATTTCTATATGCAAAAATATTATAGTTACTAGGGCATGCAGAGATGATATATTTGTTAATGTTGTTTAGCCTAAAACAGGATCTCTAAGTGTACATGGCAGTAGGAACATGATTGCAGAAATACCAGTTATTAATACATTTAATGCAGGAATTGCTAAGTGGTATGATAGTGAAATGGACATGCTGAAAAATGATAAGTGTAATTCCTAAGGAACAGGATCTCTAATGGATGAAATGAGTCCTAAGCATGGATTCTATTGCGCAAGTAGGAATGTAAACCTAGTAACATGCTTTCTACCCTTTTAATAGCTAAAACATGCATATTCTCCATCCCTTTTCACTAGCCAACCCCATAATGTTTACAAATTATTACAGACCAAATGATTGAATTACAAAAGAAGTGCAGAATAAGAAATTACAACCAAAGGAAGCCTGATCTGGACTTCCTCTCTAAGTTATGTAATTAACCACCTCAAAAGCCAATATTTCAAAGCCTTTCTCATATCTGGGTGTGTCAGAGTTCCCTAAGGACCTCAAGGGGTCCCGGGCAGTGCTCACACCCAGGTTTGCATAACCAACAGAATGAGTGCAGCGTGGAAGGGCCAACTCTTATGTGTCCAAATTCAGAGGGAGCTCAAGGGTCCCAAGGCAAGGCTCACACAAGAGGGGCAGAACCTAGATTCTAAGAGTACAGTGAAAGTGCAGAACACATGTTGAAAGAGATTTTAAAAAAAAGCTGGACTAATAGTCCATTTTGAAAGCAATTAGGGACAGAGGTGATTGAAATCAGTTGTAAATGAAACCCAAATTCCCAAGATGGGATCACACACAGAATCACAGTCATACAAAGGGGTCAAGGGGTTTAGGACACACATACATCTGACTATGAACACATAACCCCATTAAGGGTCTTAGGACTAGTTGGACATGCACAACAATGGCTGATACTGGCATGATCACAGGCTAGTCAGAAAGAGCATAATCACATTGAGGGAATAGAGACTTAGGATAGCAA